TATATCTCTGTAAATTTTCCTTGAAGGGTCCATGGCATAGTCCAAAATCATATGAACCTAGATATAATTTCTCTTTGCGCCATCTATTATGGGTGCTTAATATTAGACCGATCAAGTGGGAAAATACATGTAGTTTAGGTTTGTAAATTCTAATATTTATGTGATTCTGAATCGTGAACCTTTTGTTTCTCCAATAGACTTTCGGCCGTACCAAAGTAAGATATCAATTTTGGTAAGGAAAGCAGAGTAAGGCTTTTGTTGAACTTTACATTTTCCCATTTGGCATAAAAGCCGCTGGCTGTTCTCACAGCTGCAGTGAATAAGCACTGAAGAGATAGCTTCGAATGTAGAAGGCAAATACTTCAGCGCTCCCATCGAATCAAAGAGTCGGGCGGTTTCGAACTTGGTCAGTGCTTAACAGTTGAATCATCTGCCAATTGTATTCACTTTGCCCAAATCCGCCTGCTAAAAGACTTTCTGACCAAGGCTCGATTGCTGCTTCAAACTAGCCTTGATCACATTAGCAAACCCAACGAGATCCGAGGCCGTGTCGTACGAGAGAGCAGCAAAATCACACACACACAGTCTAGGGGGACTGACAGTCTTGAAGCCTACTTATTTGGTGTTGAGTAGTTTGATCAATTGTAATAACGAATCCCAAGTCCGCTGCGTTCCAAATGTCGCATCTGCCTTTTAAGCAATTAGCCAGATGGGAATGCCATACAATTAGTCACAGGCTTCTGTTGAGTTGGTTGTGTTTTGTTTTGACAACTTAATCGTGGGCTCAGGACGTCTTCCATAGTTCCCATGTGTCCTTACAGCATGGGTATATTCCCAGACGTTTGGCCGGTGGAAATTTCGGCAGCGTCGGAGAGCGGCTCCAAGTCGTCAAAGTCGGTCAAGGGATAAGCGTCTTTTATATAAGGTGTTATGAATCCCAACTTATAAACGAAAAATAAACGACGATTGTCTGTTTGATGAGTTATTTCTCGTAACTAAAACTGGCGCTGGCCTAGGCGATGCCGGCAAAGAGTCTGGAAATGTATTCAGTCCACGGTTTGGTATTGAAAGAACTCATAAAAACATTGGCATGGGATACAGCGCAGGCTACGCCCTTCAAAGTCTCCCTGTGCACGATCAGGTTGCGAAGACGCAATCAAACCTGATTTGTTGATAATATTAAACGCTACTTGTTTAGCTATTTCAGTAGTTTAGTATGATTCGCCAGTGAAAAGTCTTACAATTGTTGAGCTTACTTCCATTTCTAGTGAAAGTGTTGGGTGAAGAAATTGAAATTCGATTCCACCAGGAGACGACGATGGATTCCTCTTGATAGCTGTCGATTGGCTTTAATAGAACATTCATGCTGACGCTGTTTCCAAGGTAATCTCCTTCGATTCCGGTGAAAAAGTGCTAACCTTTCGTCCGTCATATGACGAACATCATCA